AAAAAAAAAAAAAAAAAAAAAAAAAAAAAAAAAAAAAAAAGCTTACAGCAGAGATAAAACAAGACAACAATGTAAGCTTTTTTTTTTTTTTTTCAACTAGAATATCATTTTCTTAGTGAGGACATCAATGTCCAATGTCTGGTCCTCAATTCTAGAAATCCAGATACAAAATTTTGACTTTACTTTTTTTTCTTTTCCTTCCTTCTTTCCTTGTTCTTTCCTTCCTTCCCTCCCTCCCTCCTTCTTTCCTTCCCTCCTTCCTTTCCTTCTTTCCCTCCCTCCTTTTTTCCTTCCCTCCTTCCCTCCCTCCTTTTCTTTCCTCCATCCCTCCCTTCCTTCCCTCCTTCTTTCCTTCCCTCCTTCCCTTCCTTCCTTCCCTCCTTCCTTTCTTCCCTCCCTCCCTCCCTCCCTCCCTTCTTTCCTTCCTTCCTTCATCTCTTCTTCCTTTTCTTTTTCTTTTTTTGACAGGGTCTCAATCTGTCACCCAGGCTGGAGTCCAGTGGCACAATCTCGGTTCACTCCAACATTCACCTCCCAGGCTTAAGTGATCTTCCCACCTCAGCCTCCCAAGTAGCTGGGACTAAAGGCATGCACCACCATGCCCATCTAATTTTTGAATTTTTAGTAGAAATGAAGTTTCACCATGTTGGCCAGTCTGGTCTCAAACTCCTGACCTCAAGTGATCTGTTCGCCTTGGCCTCCCAAAGTGCTGGGACTGCAGGCATGGGCCACCGTGCCTGGCCCAGAATTTTGAATTTTTTGTCAGAGGTAATGACATTCTATAAAGTGATTCATATTTGAAAACTGTGCACAGGACTGATATATAAAGCAGAATGTTGAGGTCGTGATTTTTTCCATTAAAATTATGCCTTTTCTAGTCCATGGGCCACTTGTGCAATCCATAGTATCTTCTTTGCAGTTAGTTCCAAGGTACCCGGAAATCACATAGTCTTGAGGGAACAGTTCATCCAGGCTGTAGATAAGCCTGATGAGCCACTTCTGTTCCACAATAAAGTGAATTTCCACCAAGTACTTATATCTATCTCATACCCTTTTCTTTTACTTTGTGCTTTTTTCTCCGTTTCTCCTTGTCTTACTTTTCGGGATTATTCTTATATTTACATCATTACTTCAAAGAAATTAAATTAAAATTAATTAGATTATAAATGCAATTGAATATACATCAGAAGTAAAAAAAAAAAAAAAAAATGTGATGGTTTACTACCCAGGCTTTGAGGTCAAACTTGAATTCACCTCATACATATGCACGAAACAGCTATGGGAGAATTGGACACCAACTTAACAGTCATAGCCACAATTTCTTCCTATGTAAAGTGGGGCAGTACTTATCCCTCACAGGGCGAATGTGAAGATTAAATGATCTTATCACATAGATTGGCATACAGCAAGACCAGTACTCAATAAATGGAATCCATGATTATTTAGTCTTAAAGAACTACTTTGTTTATCCGGAGTGAATGATGAATTTGAGTGTTTCCCAGCCCTTTATCGGCATCATACTGACAAAATATCTCATAGAGTAAGACATATGAATAAATAATCTTATTGATTTTATCTAGAATTTTTTATTTTTTATCTAGAATTAATTTAACTCTTAGAATGTAACATTTGCCAGTCCTCATTTCCAAATTCTTGAGAATCCCTCTTGTTGCCCTTTGCATAAGCCATATCAAGCAATAAAAGATAAAATATGTCAAGTCCCAAAGAACAGTAACAAATGCCATGAAAATTCAAAGATTTTCAGCTGGATTGATCAAGGAATAGTTCATGGGGAAGGCGACATTAAAGCTAAAACGTTCAAATGACTGTAGTCCCCTTGAGCAGCTAAACACGAACTCTCATGATTCATTGCACCCTAGAGCTGTGCTGTGGCTTTGAGCATTTAGAATCAGGCTAGTCTGAATTGCTATAATGCTATAAGCGTAAAATATACACTTAGTACAAAAAGTATTATATTAGTAATTTTTCAATATTGATTATATTTTTAAGTTATAATATTTTCTACATATTGGGTTAACTAAAATGTTATTAAAATTCTTTTCACCTTTTTCATTTCCTTTTCTTAATGTAAAAATATACTCATCATCACTGGTCATCAGAGAAATGCAAATCAAAACTACATTGAGATACCATCTCACGCCGGTTAGAATGGCGATCATTAAAAAATCTGGAGACAACAGATGCTGGAGAGGATGTGGAGAAATAGGAACACTTTTGCACTGTTGGTGGGAGTGTAAATTAGTTCAACCATTGTGGAAGACAGTGTGGCGATTCCTCAAGGACCTAGAAATAGAAATTCCATTTGACCCAGCAATCCCATTACTGGGTATGTATCCAAAGGATTACAAATCGTTCTACTATAGGGACACGTGTACACGAATGTTCATTGCAGCACTGTTTACAATAGCAAAGACCTGGAACCAACCCAAATGCCCTTCGACGATAGACTGGATAGGGAAAATGTGGCACATATACACCATGGAATATTATGCAGCCATCAAAAACGATGAGTTTGGGTCCTTTGTAGGGACATGGATGAACCTGGAAACCATCATTCTCAGCAAACTGACAGAAGAGCAGAAGATCAAACACCGCATGTTCTCACTCATAGGCGGGTGTTGAACAATGAGAACACATGGACACAGGGAGGGGAGCACTACACACTGGGGTCAGTTGGGGGGAAATAGGGGAGGGACGGTGGGGGGTGGGAAGCTGGGGAGAGATAGCAAGGGGAGAAATGCCAGATGTAGGTGATGGGGAGGAAGACAGCGAATCACACTGCCACGTGTGTTCCTATGCAACAATTTTGCATGTTCTTCACATGTACCCCAAAACCTAAAATGCAATAAAATAAATAAATGGGAAAAAAATATATATATATAAAGTCATGGCTGGGCGTGGTGGCTCACACCTGTAATCCCAGGACTTTGGGAGGCTGAGGCAGGTGGATCACCTGAGGTCAGGAGTTCGAGACCAGCCTGGCCAACATGGTGAAACCCTGTCTCTACTAAAAATATGAAAATTAGTTGGGCATGGTGGTGCGCACCTGTAATCCCAGCTACTCGGGAGGCGGTGGCATGAGAATCTCTTGAACCCGAGAGGTGGAGATTGCAGTGAGCTGAGATCATGCCACTGCACTCCAGCCTGGGTGACAGAGTGAGACTCTGTCTCAAAGCAAAAAACAAAAATATATATAATCACATATTTGGGAAATGTGCCTCTGGCCATCAATTAACAGGGACCAGATTTACCCCCTCACCTGAAACAGCTAAAAAAATGTAGATTATAAAATAATGCTCTGCAGAACACTGAATGTAAGACAATGAGTGGACCCATGAGAGATGGGAAATAAATGGTGTGCATCCTGTGATTGCCTCAGCTTTTATTCACTGACAGTTTCCAGACCATGGAGCAGAGATGGGGAACCTGGCAGACTCTCTGGGTTAAGGAGGTAGAGCTGAGATTCTGAGGAAACCAAAGCAGCTAGGGTTTACAGGACACAGCAAGGTACAAAAGAAAGCTGCACAGAGAGCAAACCCTGGAGCTCTGCAGCGGGTGCTTGCATCAGTTTCCTATTGCTGCTAAAACATTACCACAAACTTTGTGGCTTGAGGCAACACAAATTTATTCTTTTACAGTTCTGAAGGTCAAAAGTATACATTCAAGTTGTTGGCTAGGTTGCCTTTCTTCTGCAGGGCTCAGGGAGATAATCTGTTTCCTTGTCTTTGTCAGCTTCTAAAGTCACCTACATTCCTTGTCTCCTTTCTTGCATCATGCAACCTCTTGCTTTTATCATCATCTGATGCTTTCCACTCTTATCTCCTGCTTCATTCTTATGAGGGCCCATATGATTAGATAAGAACTACCTGACTAATCCAGGATAACCACCTCACTTCAAGATGTTTAATTTAATCACAGCTTCAAAGTCATCATTGCCTTATGAGGTGCATGAACATATTTGGGGGCCTATTATTCAGTCTACCAAAGTGTCCATTAAGAATTTAGCCGAGTCCTGATTACACATGCATATAAAAAACTACCCAAGGATAAGTACCATC